GTCTAATCATGAGCGACATCAAACCCAGATTAGTGCGGTCCCTCAAGGAATCTAACACGCACTGGGTAGAGGAGCTCGACTCCATACTCTGGGGGCTGCGGACCACGCAGAATCGCACAACCGGATTCACACCATTCTTTATGGTATATGGCGTAGAGGCAGTTCTGCCCTGCGACATAATTCATGACTCACCTCGCGTGTGCATGTACGAAGAAAGAGAAGACGAACTCGATCAGCAGGATAGTTTGGACGCTTTAGAGGAGGAGCGTGATGTGGAAAAAGCCCGTTCCGCATTCTATCAACAACAGGCTCGAAGATATCAAAGAAGAGAAGTACGGGCCAAAACTTATAATGTTGGCGAGTTAGTTCTACGGCTGCCGGACAAGAAAAAGGACAAACTCAAGCCCAAATGGGAAGGTCCCTTCATCATTGACCAAGTCCTGGCTGGTGGAGCGTACCGTCTGCGAGATGCATCAGATAACCGACTCAAGCCGAACCCATGGAACGCAGCCCGTCTCCGAAGATACTACACCTAGCGCCGGACTCTATGTTTGTCTCCTTCCTCTGTCTATTTTTTACACATTAGCTGTCATATATTCCTCTCCTTCTCCCTCCCTTTCTCTGACAGCCTTTAAGGGCTCGTTCGCGCCTTGCTCGCACACAATTGATGCGCTATCCGCACTCATTATACCCGGGGGCTTCTTTAACATAAGCTTGTTTATACGGGCCTCATGCCCAACACATGTGTCACACTTCCGCATGTACCTTTTATTCACCATTATATGCACCGACATGACTTAAGTTTTGGCCAAGCTGGGTTGCCTGGCTCCTGTGCTTACCCCTACGTCCCCGATTGTTCGGCTAGGTGGTAAAGGGAGCACCTCTGTGATTGTTACTGCTGGGTTAGCCAGATGTGTACCTTAGACTGGGTGAAGCCGAAAGCTAGCATTCTTAAGAGATATTCAGTTGGTGAACTAAAAGATGATTTCTCACTCGTTTATTCATCCGCCCCCAGATGCTTTTCTGCTTTTTTCGCAGTCCGGACATGCACTTTAGGGCATGCCTCCCAGGGAAAGGAACCCCTAACGGAACTATTCTCCCTGGAAGATGTTTCTTACTAACCATGTAATATAACATAACTAGTTGGGCACTTGTCTAATAAAGCACTAATGACCCCTACGCCTGGTCTCCACGCATGCCCCGGTTCTTACATAACCGAGAGGGTATTCGGACACACTCCGGACTATCGGGTCCCGAGGTTGAAGCGAAAAGGTCCGCCATGACAAACGATCTACAATCCGGCTAGAAGGCATTTTACATGTCATCTTAAATTACATAGTCAATTTGACTGGGTATATTCCTCTTCAATACCATCCAACAGGCTGTCTAGTTTACAGTCTTGTTGGGAATATTTGGCAGCCAACTCTACCTGGCCGTATACTAAACTCACAGGGATCTCCTTCCCATCGGGCTCCACAGGTCCGACCTCGGCCATGTGGTTTGGGTCAGCCTTCATGTACCGCGTCTTCACCATGGCCCAGGCCTCCCTGGTGCCTTGATGGCAGGCCGATATCTTCCATAATCGGAAGCGCCGCCTCGCTCCCTCCAGCTTTTCTGCAAGCTCTCCAAGGCCTTCAGGCACGGAGATGGATGGCCACAACACCTGGGCGACGCCTTGCATTACCTGCCGAACTCGTTCGTGCAGTTGTGAGAGCTCGAGAAGAAGGTCACCCGTGGAACCAGACATTTCCTCTGCAGGCTGACCTGTCAGCATACCTACAAACATAACTTTGTCAATCGACTTCCTCGGCGAACTCTTTTTTGAAGTTCGTTCAAGCACTTACTGAAAATGCCGCGTCGAAGCCGCCGATTCTCCTTCACGGAGTCCGACAGCTGAGCACGAACATCCTTTAGTTCCTCGCCCAGCTGGGTGTTGGCATCTTGGAGATTATTCTTCTCTTGCCTCACCCTCGTAAGCACACTCTCACCAACCTTTAACCGATGCAAGAGTTGTTTCTTGTCCGGATCCACTCCGGCGCCATCTGCAATGTTATTGTCAGATTTCCATGCATGCCGCACTTCACAACATACTTATCTTTCGAAGCATATATTACCAGCGGGTGTCTCCTTGGTGTCCCCCGCCGCGGCTAGTGCGGCCTCTAGTTGGGCTTTGCACTCTTCCAGCTCCTGGGACAGTTGGGTGTTCTTTTCTGTAAGATCCTGCATAACAAATGATCCTTAAATCAGTTATTCTAACTGTTTCAAGTCTCGGGGGCTACTGACATATATAACCATCAAATTTTCTCACTCGTATGTCTTTTACATATTGCTCTATGGCTCTGGCTAGACCATTTTGAGCAGCACGGAGGTACGCATCTCCCGTATTGAAGGCATCCAATGCCTCTTGGGAGAAACAAGCGTCACAGAGAACTGTCCGGCGATGCCTGTGGTTCATGGCACTCTCCACCTCGGAATTGGTGGCAGACAGCCCGTCCGCATCCTCTGTCGGAGGAGCGCCCGGTGCGCACCTTGTGTTCGCCTCCGCTTCCGGACCCGGCCTTGGAGCCTGGCAAGTGGAGGCGCGTTCTACAACCTCTCCGGATATAGTCCGACGAGCGCTCTTTTTCCTGAAGAGAGCACGGGCGTTAGTATACCTTGAGGGAATAAAACTTGGGAATAAATTGGCACGCCATACCGTTGTGTCGGCGTCTCAGTCCGGACCGCTCTTCTTCAGCCTGCTGGGCCTTGATGCCCCTTGTTGGTTGGCCACCGCAGGCTCGGCCCTCCGCCTCAAGGACTTCCCCTGCAAAAACGCCATTGGTATACGGTGATAAAAAATAAGCACGGGTGGATCATCTCAAAAGTACTGGGATTTCGGTCTCGGTTACTCGTGAGGCTGGAAGTAGTCCGGGATAATCGGGCGTAATGGCTGCTAAGGCGTTGTCCTTGCTCAATTGATGAAACACCCCATCGATCAGCTCCACAGATAAGTCCGGGTCCTCTTGGGAGTCCGGGTTGAAGGACCGTTCCGGGTCCTCGGGTTGTGGAGGAGGGTTGTTTATCTCTTTTACAGCCTGGCGTAGCTCCTGCGTTGGAATTGCTAGGCTGAAAACTTAACTATGGGAATATGAAACGGATGGGCGAGTGAAAGTGTCCGCTTACCCAGCTTGGAGGATTGTACATAGAAAATCCGCCCCGTGGGTTGATGCGGAGGAATTCCTCCTCTTCTCCATTGTACAAAGTGGACAAGATCTTTATTAGAGCGGCAGCCGATTCCGGCCCCTTACGGCCGCACTGGGTGGCGTCGTCCTCCCCGTTGAAGTCCCATATGGGGTGGCCTCTATACTGAAGCGGCTACACCCCCCACATAATGCATGTGGCCATGACCTCGATCACGGTCAATCCGGAATGAGCTAACAACCTTATCCGGCTCATCAGGTAAAGGACGTCCTTGTCATTTTCCTTCTGAGGGCTCCATGGACGCCAGCTTAGGCGCTTCTTCAAAGGAGCATTATCAAACTCAGGGAGGACGATCCGAACAGGGTCCGGTAGGGGGACATCTTCTATATAAAACCATTCTGAAGGCCAGTCTTCGGACGCCTTCTTTGGGGTTTCGAATAGATATCCCATCCCGGCGATGCGCCATAGTTCGGCTCCGCCCACTTGATATATCGACCCCTCCTGAGAACGGGGCACAAGGCAGAACAACTTCTTCCACAGTGCGAAATGAGCCTCGATGCCCAAAAACAGTTCGCAAAGGGCTACGAAGCCCGCAATATGCAATATGGAGGCAGACGTAAGGTTGTGCAACTGGAGGCCGTAGAACTCTAGGAGCCCCCGGAGAAATGGATGAATTGGAAATTCGAGCCCTCTTATCAAATAAGGGACAAGGCATACCCGCTCTCCTTTGGAGGGATTAGGGACGCTCTCCGCTTGCTCTCCACCATTATAGGTGGCAAGCCCGGCTCGAACCGGGACCATGTAGGCTGGGGGTTGAAACCCCTTGGTTTGGAGCGCCACTAGCTCGCTGTGAGGGACGGAGCATCTCTCCCAATCTCCAGGCTGAGGGCTGGGGGTGGGGGGGGGGGAGGCAAGAGTAGGAGCTGCGTCGACTGGCGATGATGGAATGGATCTCTGTCGAATGCGCTCCGATGAATGCTCGCAGAGGGAAGATGGTGTGATTCGGATCTAAATCCCCGTCTCTTTTATAGGTGGCTCATTTGCGCATCTATGGGGGTAAATGGAAAAACACCCTGGCTTTTCGCATTCATTTGACACATGGAAGATGGCCATTATTGGGCGTAGAAGCCGAGGAGCGCAACATTCACCAGAAGTCGGACACTATCCAACAGGTATATGGAATTTGGAGAAGAACCCGCCTTGCAATGCTGAAGACAAATCTGCACGACATACTCATCGTCATTGAAGCCTGGTTCGGGGGCTACTGAGGGAGTCCCGGATTAGGGGGTGTCCGGATAGCCCGACTATAACCTTTGGCCGGACTCCTGGACTATGAGGATACAAGATTGAAGACTTCGTCCCGTATCCGGATGGGACTTTCCTTGGCGTGGAAGGCAAGCTTGGCGATACAGATATGTAGATCTCCTCCCATTGTAACCGACTCTATGTAACCCTAGCCCTCTCCGGTGTCTATATAAACCGGAGGGTTTTAGTCCGTAGGACGGACAACAATCATACCATAGGCTAGCTTCTAGGGTTTAGCCTCTCTGATCTCATGGTAGATCTACTCTTGTACTACCCATATCATCAATATTAATCAAGCAGGAGTAGGGTTTTACCTCCATCGAGAGGGCCCGTACCTGGGTGAAAACATCGTGTCCCTTGTCTCCTGTTACCATCCGCCTAGACGCACAGTTCGGGATCCCCTACGCGAGATCCGCCGGGTTTGACATCGACAATGTTCTCTTAGAAACATGAAAAATACAAGTATCTCAACAACCTCACAAATACTATATAATTAAAGCAAGAATGAAAAGGATTTAATATGTAGGGTCGACGGAAATACATGATACAGGAAACACACCTTCATGTAGTGTAGCCAATGACTTGAAGAGCATGAATGGTTTTGAACGGAACTTCTTTACCCTTAGATTATCCTATTGAATGCAACAACATTGTATGGTTAGGATCAATAAAACAATGCCTTGAAGAGCATGAATGTCAGTGAACAAACAATATATCAAGAAAATAGCTAACCTTGATAAGTTTATCCCATATTATAGGTTCAGCGATGATAATGCAAAGTGTATCATCCCATCCCGTGCCACTTTGTTTCCGAGAGTCTCTCACTACCTTATAATTTCCTTTTAAATCCTTATCCTTCTCTTGGATTTGTTGCTTGGTGAAATGAGCTAGTGGAAATTTCTGATTGAGTGTATTTGTAATTCTAGTCCACCCTTCAGCAGTCCACCCATTTTGACCTCGATAAATGGGATTGTTGTGGTCAAGCATTATATCAACAAGACCTTTCTCATATGCATGGTCCCAAGATGCCCTAGGCGCTGCCATAGCTACATTATTGAACCAACAATGGGGTACTAGTTAAATTTCACTCTACCACTACTTTACCTAAGAAAAGGTGAGAATTTTTTTACAAAATAAACTCATGTCCGACTAGTTGTTATAATCAGCCCACATTTGCATCGTGATCTGATCTCTAAGAGTGTTTCCATCGTTTGCCTCATTGTGATGATGTTGGTTGACATCATCTCCCTATGGAACATCAACATATTTTTCTGGTGGAATTAACGGTGGTTGGTGATCCAACCATGCCTCATCACCACTTTGAGCTCTAATGATGTTATGGAATACAGCACATGCCGCCAGAATCTTGATTTGTGACTCTATTGGGTAGTGATTGCCCACTTTCAAGATAGGGAAACGTTTTTTCAGAACACCAATGATCCTTTCGATGTGGTTCCGGAGGATTGCATGGGTATGGTTGAACGGCTCCCTATGGTTGGCATAGCCCGTATTAGATGAGCGCCGCCTCCTAAATTCATTCAGGTGATACCGAACTCCTCGATATGGTGCAAGAAAAGAAGGCATGTTTGCATATCCACCATCTACGAGATAAAAATTTCCATCTAGCACAGGAAACCCCTTGCTAATAGCAGAACGAAGAACTCATGCATCTGATGCGGACCCTTCCCACCCACATGAAATAAATGTGAAATTCAGATCAAAATCACATGCAACCATCACATTCTGTGAGAGGGTTCCTTTCCTATTCCTAAATGGGGGGGGGGGCTTATCTTCAGCAATAGTGATGGGGATATGTGTTCCATCTATAACACCAATGCAGTTCTGCACATTGAAAAAGAAATAACAAAGTTGGTAGGTTTAGAAATCTATGTGGAGAAGTTCAAAAAATTCCATTGATATGGAGATGTGTCTGTAGTGGTTCACCTGGAAATAAGGCCAATAACGGTTGTTTGAAACAATCTTCGGGTGGGGCTGGAGTGAACTTGGAATCTTTATAAATCTTTGGGCTAGAGTTGGAATTAAGTCAAAAATCCTGTTTATCTTCCTATGAATTGTTTCTGCGCTGTGTTGGAAGTATTTTTGTAGATCTTGATTACTAGCATTGTGCGAAATCATGTACATGAACATTGCCAACTGCTCCTCGATAGCAACACGCGACGTGCCCTTCAATAGATTCTCTCTTCTAAGGTAATCCACGATAGAATTGAAAATCTCAGGTTCCATCCGAAACTCAACCCTAGACCAACTCTCGTTTCCTTCTAATATTTCCTTAACCTTTGTAGCCCCGGATAAAGATGATGCGTGAACTGGATGCTTTTCCTCATAAAGGGAAGCATATAAAGCGGGAACCAAAAGGAAAAATGGTTCATCTTCTTCTTGTTCTTGCGAGATAATCTTAATAATTTTATTTCTCCTAGAATCCATCACTATTATACCCAATGAAAACAAAATTAATACAATGATAATAATTATAAATAAAGCAATAATAATACCATCTCTATTATGGCTGCAAAGAACCAATAGCTAGGAGCCTAGGAAGCTCAGGAGTGAATACAAAGATAATACCATTTCTATTGTAACATCTACGTACATAATTAAGAGCATCAGTTTTCTCATATACTAAAATAAGACCACTTTCAATACTAGGCAGAGAAAAACAACATCACAAGAGTAGTAGTTTTGCATAATTTAAGCTTCCTTAGTGGCCATGTCAAAGGGATGACTGCGTCACATACCTTTCTTGCTCCGAGTGAAAACTTCTCAATGATCAACAAATCAAAAGGCACCAAGCAGTTGAACACAAAGTCTTCGGATAAAGCCAACTTCTAATGTCAGAGCACCTGCATTTGAAACACGATAAAATAATGAATAGATACATATAGATAAGTAAATAGAGTAGACCCACAAATCAATACCTACTAGAAAACAATGATCAGTGAGGAGGAATCAATCAAATTTTGGCAGTAGGTAGCACAGGTTGAAAAGAACGAACAAACAAAACTACAACAAGTATGTGACTGGACTCAGTAGTAACACCTCAAACAATACAAGGTAGTAACACCTCAAATCGATAGAGCGACAAATCGACTGTAGTCAGTCAGTCAAAGAGATGTGAACTCCGGCCAGCTAGCCATAATGACAAATCGATAAAACAAGTGTAGTATTCATCAACCAAAGAATGGCATCACATCATATCCATCAAGGAGCAGACAAACATTTTTGCCCGCAACAGCAGCAACTACAGACTAGGGACCAACAGGAGCAACAAAAGCAGTATCCATCGGACTTGCATATATAGTCTACACAAGCAACCTTCACTCAACTAGTACACAGTGGGTACCAAAAAAACAAACACGCTCAACTCAACTAGTTTTTCATCACCAAAAAAAATACTGAACTAGTTTCTTATTGCCATCAACAATCTTAACCTAGCAAGCAACATCTTCTTCCACCCGAACATGTTCAGCTACCCACGCCAAACCAAAACAGCAGCAGACCCATCCCACCTACAACCATAGTGACCACCGAGCTTTCTATGCTATAGTTCATCTCATGTGTCATTCAACTACCATTTTGCATCAATCCTACCTCCTTGAACGAACCCACCTACAAACAAATTTGCCCTCTTCACAATATACTAGAACATTGTGCATATAGATTAGCATCACAGGGAGGTAAAGGTGGCTGTGCTCACTTGTGAGGTCAGGATAGATATAGCACTTCAAAGCATTCGATGTTCTTCAGTACAGCTGCTCACTTGGGGTACAAACCTCAAACAGGAGAGATCTGTATAGGCGCTCGTCAGTGCGTGTAGCAGGAAAGAAATCACCATGGCAAAGAAAAATAGTGAGTGGAAGAGGAGGAGGAGGGGATAACCTTGATGAGAAAGAGGAGAATGATCTATGGCTGTCGTCTTCGCCGGAGGTGAGTGAAGCTTCAAGGCAGAGAGATCAGATAAGAGGGAGGATGATGACCCCGGTCGCCGTTGCCCCCGTCGGAGGAGAAGGTCGTGAAGGTGTAGGTGGTGGTGCGTCGCCTCTGGTTGCCGGGCGGAGCCTTGGACGGAGGAGGGCGAAGCCTTGGGCGGAGGAGGGCGGAGCTTGGTGGTGCGTCGCTCTCGGATCTTGCCGCCGCCGCTCGTTCGTGAGACCGAGAGAGCGAGGGTTTCGTCCCCGACCACTGGAGGCGTGGAAGGCTCTCCCAGGGAAAAGGCGTGGAAAGGGACGGGCTACCAATATCCCGTGGGCCGCCAAATGACCGAGTGGATTACCCAGGGCTAAGTTGGCTTGTGGGTTCCCAGCCCGGGGAATAGGCATGGATCCCGGGGGGAAAACCTGAAACCAAACGAGGCCTGATTTTAGGTGGGGGTGGGGTAAATGCTTTGTGATTTGTCAATGCCACGTGTCATTCATCAGGATTGGTCTCACCTGCTAATCCGTGAGACCTGGTTTCATAGATTTTTTTTCCGCTGCGCGCAGTGTTAAGGCAGGAATAGCAGATTCGGTGCTGCCGGCATATAAGGGCTTGATTGCGAAGCCGAGATCGTCTCCAGATGCTCCGCAGGATCTGTTCATCAAGCATACCCCAGAGGACGTTGAGGCATGCGTCCAAAATTTGTTTGAAGAAATTTGAAAAATGATTGGTTATTTTGTACTCTCTTCGTCTCAAAATAAGTGTCTCAACTTTAGTACAACTTAAAAAACTTATATTAAGACGTAGGGAGTAGCATCTTATTGGTCGTGCATGTGATTTTGGTATTATCACTAATATTATTGCAGGAATGCCTAGTAGTGACGGACGCAAAATGACCTGCAACTGCTATAACCTCATCAGTGGCAGGTGCCCGCCCGCCATTGGTATAGTGCTTGCAGTGGCAGCGTTTGTTCCTACCCACCACAACTCGCTGTTTTTGTCCGCCACAGATATCATTGTAGCAATGGCGGTACTCACGTAGTGCCGCCACTCGAGGGATAGGATAAACTACACAATTGTTAGCATTGCAAGTTGAAAATCAATACTACAAAAGGCTAGTCATACAATTCTCAATATAACTGAAGCAGATTTAATTCAGTTTGGGAACAAACAACGAAATAATTAAATAACACTTCAGATTTGTTCGAGTGAAGAAACAAACATCAATGTATCGATCACGTCCATCATAACATACTAATTAACTAATAGTTCATTGATTGATAAATTCATGACTTAAGAACATATTTCTAAACATGGTCAACGACAATCATCATCTAAGTCATTGCCGTTCCTTTATCTTATGCTGATTATCACAAGGGTGTCCACCCGTAGTTCACTCTTTCCTATCACGAAATCCCGCCAGCCAGACCTACAAAAGGATATGCGTTCGTCTATTTTCGTCTTGTACTAAATGCTGGTGACACGCCCTGTTGGTCCATGGCGTACTTCAGCGGTGCCGACGGTAGGAATGTCCACTCCGGAAAACATATTGATAGGTAACTTCTCCACTCCCCATCATTAAAAGAAAACAGAGAGCACACAGTGTTAGACATCTCACCATACTTGGTTATAGAAAAAAATGAAAAAAATACAAATAATCTCACCATGACTTTTTTCATGATGTTGGTTTTAGTTAAGCGGTGCACAAATGGCTTCCCCATGAAGGCTACACTTGATGATAACATCGCGGTAATATTCATGTTCTCATCTCGAGTAAGCTTCCCTATTTTTTCAGAGAAAATTGTGGAACTTAATGGACCATCGTCATCATCTTCCTCATCTTCCTCATCCTCGTGATCTTGGTTGTCCTCATCTTCACCGCTATCCTCGTCATCTTGGTTGTTTCCATCTCCTGCTCATCCCGGCTATCGTCATGATCCTGGTTGTCACCGTCATCGTGATCACTGCAGAAATACATTGTCCTTAACCTGCTGACATCTCCTTTCAAGGAAAAGTATATGTACTCTCCTCCAATGAAATTTATTCTATGAAATGTAATGCTTCCATGCATTGCCATATATGATGGTTATATCCTTTCGTTTATGCACATC